CACGCCCCCTCCATATATAATATCTATCTAAAATATGTGTGTGTGTGTGTGTGTGTGTGTGTGTGTGTGTGTGTGTGTGTGTGTGTGTGTGTATAGCCTATTTATGAAGGCGGGCAGGCAGTTCGAGTGAAGTGAAACCGACGAGTTGAATATAGATACTGCCACCCTGTGGGCTGATGTGAGAACTGCAACTGCAGTTCAATTAAAAAAACTCAAAACAGAATCATGAAAGCATGAAATTGACGGAATGCATTGTTATTATTATGCTTTTTTTTTTTTTTTTTTTGCGTTTTCCTCTGTAAAGAAAAGCCACTATTGAAAATATGCCATTTAAAATTAACGTATATTAATAATTTTTTTTTTAAGGCAAGGCAGGTTTATTTATACAACACATTTCAGGAGCAAGAATCATAACAAGAAAGGCAAATCGTAGTTGTGTTCATCTCATAATCAATGAACACAAAGAGCATAAAAATTTATATATTAATTATTAAACCCACGCAAGCTGCCACCTTAATGTGGTGGGGTTGTTTAAATGCCCAAATGATCCTAGGAGCTATGTTGTCAAGGGCGTTATGCCCCTGGTAGGTTCTCCCATGGCAAAAGGTCATAGGTAATGAGTCAGACTAAGAGCAGCTCACAAGACCCTTATGGGAAGAACAAAATCAAGCACAGTGACGTTGCCAAGTATGGCACAGCCGAGGCCCCACCCTGGAGTCAGGCCTTGGTTTGGGGCTCGTATGCGAGCGCCTGGCGGCCGGGCCTTGCCCAAAAGGACAACGTAGACCCAACACCCACAGAGGGATGCACAGGGGTCGGGTGCAGAGAGAACTGGGTGGCATTCAAGGTGGGGTGCCTCTATGCCCAAAAAGTCCACAAGTGATTTGTGGATCTGCAGAGGGTGTTCGACCGTGTCCCTCATGGTGCCCCCTGGGGGATGCTCTGGGAGTATGGGGTGCAGGGCCCTCTGTTAAGGGCTGTCCGTTCTCTGTATGACCACAGCAGGAGCTTAGTTCGTATTGTTAGCAGTAAGTCAGATCTGTTCCCAGTGTATGTTGGTCTCAGGGCTGCCCTTTGTTACCGGTTCTGTTCATTATATTTATGGACAGAATTTCAAGGCACACCCAGGGACTGGAGGTTGTCTGCTTTGGGGACCTCAGGACATCATCTCTGCCGTTTGGAGATGATGTTGTCCTGTTGGCCACATCAAACCAGGATCTCCAGCGTGCACTGGGGCTGTTTGCAGCCAAGTGTGGAGTGGCCAGGATGAGAATCAGCACCTCCAAATGCGAGGACATGGTTCTCCACCGGAGAAAGGTGGACTCCCCTCTTCAGGTCGGTGGAGAGTCCTTGTCTCAAGTGGAGGAGTTCAAGTATCTCGGGGTCTTGTTCACAGGTGAGGGACGGATGGAGCGTGAGATCGATAGATGGATCAGTGCGGCGTCAGCAATAATGCGGTCACTGTATGAAACTGTCGTGGTGAAGAGGGAGCCAAGTCAGGTGGCAAAGCTCTCGATTTACTGATCCAACTACGTTCCCACCCTCACCTATGGTCATAAAATCTGGGTAATGACTAAAAGGACAAGTTTGCGAATACAGGCGGCCAAAATTAGTTTCCTTCACAGGGAGGCTGTGTGCACCCTTCGAGATCAGGTAAGGAGCTCAGTTATCCGGGAGAGGATCGGAGTAGAGTCGTTGCTCCTCCACTTCGGAATAAGCCAGGGGGTAATTCTTGGCACAACAGAGGAAACCAGGAGGAGAGAATCGAAGGTTTGAAAAATGCATTTTAATTAAGCAATGCAAGACACATGGTAAGATTATTATCTTGAAAGAACTGCCAAATGTGATGTAAATGGCCAGTGGTCATAAATGAATTGAATAACTTGCAGAATGCCTGTTGTCCAATCCATGGTAAATAGCTTAGTTTGACAGACCTGTTAGAATAGTTTTAACCCATTCATTGCCAGCATGTA